AACGTTTATAAATTATATCACCTATATGTTTCATGCATCAAAACTAGATATATTTAAATGCATCCCGTTCTGTTGATAAATGAGGATAACATCTTAAAATAAGGAAAATCGAGCGGCATCGTAAAATATGAAAATATTCTTACAGGTTAATTTTATAAGACTTTGTGGAATATAGGCTTGCATTTATATTTATTAATTTCAAACTGCCTGAACCAATTCAACCCACTCACTGTTCACGAAAGCATATCTTTTTTTCCAATTTTATATGAAAGAGAATATGAAATCCGTAGCATGAATGAAACATGAGCTGGTGTTAAGTCCTTTCAATCCACTGAGATATAAAAATATAAATACGCATAATATTATACATTGTGTAATACGATATTGCACAAGTGTATATTAGGGTGGAAAAAGTATATAACATATTACGATTAAAAACAAAAACTCCTCTTAAAACTCTTCTCAGGACTTTTCTGCAAGGGTACATTTTACATTTGATAGTGGTAAACCTGTGATTACATTTATAAATTCTTAAATGTGTTCCAATATTTGTTTTATTATTTCAATATAAATTATGAACATAGCCATTGTGTCCTCACCTTACCCTATTATATTTATAACTCTTATTGTTGTACATACAATAAATACAATATGAAAAATAATACAAAATAATAATAGTTAATTGAAATGAAAGAATATTGGCCGTAAAATGCGATGCCATGAGACACCCGACGCCCTACCACTATAATCCGACATCCGGTCACATAAAACCATGTGAACTTTTGGTGGCATCCAACCAGTCCAGTTCAACAGTTGTGGCATAATGAATAACCAGCCAAGGCATTACATGTGTTTCTCATGTTGCAAATATTATGTGAGAATGATATTTTTTACGTATAAATATGAGGCAATTATTTATCCAATACCATGGATGGGAGATGAAACCATTACTGCTTTTCGGCGTTGTGGAAAAATGAAACTTTATTTTGTTAATAATATTCAATTGTAAGAGTAAATATATATATATATATATATATGCATTTGTTGTTGTTGGTTTTTATACCCTACAGAACTATGTTGTCAGGGGTATTATAGCTTTGTCCAGCCCCAAAAGTTTGTAACGCCGCGAAATTTTGGTCCTGGACCCACCTTTAAGTATACCGATCTTCATATCTCGAAAAGCCGATATAGAAATGTTTGTCCATCCGTCCGTCCGTCTGTCCATTATAACTTTTGAAAACACGATACAGGCCAGAGTTATGGACCAATCTTCACGAAATTTTGCATGTATGATGGGTTCTGGCCAATGAAGACCCCTATTGTTTTTGGGAAAGATCAGTTAATATTTAGGGGATGAAATGGACCAAATACTAAATTTTTGTCGGTTTTTCTGGTCGCTCCAGAGGCCGCAATAATGGCCCGAACATCGTGAAATTTTGCATGGAGAAGGGGATCGGGTCAAAGAATAAGCATGCCTGTTTTGATAAAGATTGGTCAATATTTAGCGCGTCAAATGGACCCTGAATTTTGTGTGAAAAATGACAAAATTTGTATTGTATATATTTACCGCTGAATCACATAGACCCAAGAAGTTGATATTATATCCAAGAGGAGTGGTTGGCCTTTAAATTAAGACCAATTATATTGTTGTATGTGCTCGGATGTGGGAGTTACACCTAAATATTCACAGGTATCTCCGTATCCGTACATTATTTAGTAACCCATTATTACTCTAGAGCGCGGAACTATAGCGCTGATAGCTTTGAAATGTTCCATAAGGTTCCAGTTATGGTCAAGGACAACGCCTATAATTTTCTGTGATGATCAGATAATAATTTTGGACTGAAGTGGACCGAAAACGTAATTTTTTGTGTTATTTTCCAATATATATATGGACCACAAATGAAAGCCGAACATCACAACACAACACACGGTGAAGGGAATCTTGACAATAGCTGTACTGAATACTCGTAATATTCGGAATATATGTCAGTGTGAGGAAGAGGTGCTGTTTACCTCTAATCGGGTAAGAGGATACCAATATCACGAAATATTGCCCAGGCTCAGAATAAGCATCCGCAGAAAATTTGAGTTCCGTGGTAGTTGTGTAGGATATCGTATGGTCGGCCCCGTCCGACTATACTGCTCCGCTCACTGGTTATACCCTACAGAACTATGTTGTCAGGGGTATTATAGCTTTGTGCAGCCCCAAAAGTTTGTAACGCCGCGAAATATAATTTATATCTCGACTAGCTGAGTCGATATAGACATGTGTGTCCGTCCGTCCGTCTGCCCACTATAATTTTTAAACACGATACCGGCCACAGTTATTGACCAATCGTCACAAAATGTTGCATGTTGGATGGATTCTGGCCAATGAAGACCCCTATTGTGTTTGTAAAGATCGGTTAATATTTAGGGGATGAAATGGACCAAAAACTTTATTTTTGTCTGATTTTCTGTTGGCTCCAGAGGCCGCAATTATTGTGCTTGGTAAAGATTTTTACATGGTGAAGGGGAAAAATGACGGTGAAATTTTGCATGGAGAAGGGGATCGGGCAAAGAATAAGCATGCCTGTTTTGATAAAGATCAGTCAATATTTAGCGGATCAAATGGACCTTGACGTTTGTGTGAAAATGACAAAATTTGTATACAATGTCGTTTATATTTACTCCTGAGGAACATACCGAACATACCCGAAAAGTTGATAGTATAACCAAGAGGATTGGTTAACCTTTAAATTGACACCAATTATATTGTCGTATATACTCGGATGTGGGAGTTACACTTAAATATTTACAGGTGTTTACGTACTGAGACATTAGTTAGTAACCCATTACCACACTAGAGGTCGGAAATATAGCGCTGATCGCTTTGAAATTTTCCCTGAGATTCCAGTTGTGCTAAAGGACAATGCCTATAATTTTCGGTGATAATTAGATAATAATTTTGGATAAAGTTGACCGAAACCTAATTTTTTGTGTTTTTTTTTCGAGTCGATCTAAAGGCCACAATTATAAGCCGAACATCACAACACTCACGGTGAAGGAAATCGATTGAATTAGTGTAGATTCGAATTAAATCAAAAAATTTTGACCCCGCGAATGGAATGTGGTATAGGTTGGTAATGTGGTATAGTCACTTTTTTTGTAAACTGAAAATTTTAGAATAACTAAAACATGTTCTATAGTTTGCTGTTCTCAAAAAAATAAGATAGCAATGAAATGTTTAATTTATTTAAATCCCGTTGAGAATCAGTACCAAAAATAAAATTTTTCATGAAATTGACTTTTTTTCGGTTGAAGTTTAAAAATAATTTTTTGTTTTACGGATGTACTTTAATCGTTATTACTCAAGCATTAAAATAATCAGTATGAACTAAAAATCAAATAATATGCGCGATTGCACCACATAATCACCAATTTGGAAAAAAACTAGACATTTCTTCAGTAAACACAAGTGTAGGTAATGTGGTATACCTTGATTCTGCATGAAAAAAGGCCAGCACTAGACAAAATCTCATTACTATGTGAAACATTTGTACTCTATGAGAGTCTACCATGAACCACAAGGATGAAAAACAAAGGCTATGAGTTTTAAGAACTTCTCCATACAAAAATTAAATATTGACATGTGTAGACATTATTATATAATAAAAATTTAAGTTCCACTCAACGTATCCGTTAAAAATCTTAACAGACATAAATCTCGAGCTAATTCGCATTCATTAAAAACAATAAATTATATAAGATATCAATTGGAAGTGAAAATTATACTATACCACATTAACATCATGTGGTATACCACATCTACATAAGATACCCTACACAACTACCACGGAACTCTAACTCTCTGCGGATGTTTATTCCGAGTCTGGGCAATATTTCGCGATATTTGCACTCTCTGGCCCGAATATTACCAATATTCAGTACAGCCCTTCTAATTACTTGTCCAGATTTCCTTCACCGTGAGTGTTGTGATGTTCGGCTTATAATTGTGGCCTTTAGATCGACTCGGTAGATTCACATTTGGATAAATATCACATATATTATTTCATCCAATTTCATGTTAATAGTCTTGTTTAATATACCCATAGTGGTGAAGGGTACCATATAGTCGGCCCCGTCCGACTTTACTGCTTTCCTTACTGGTTTTAATGTGTTACGGTGTGATCTGCGAGTGATTGGTGTAGGATATCTTATAGTTGTCACCCATTCGACTTTCATTCTTTCGTTACTGGTTCTGTGCCATAACAGATTAGTAACATCTTGACACATATTTATGTGCAATTCACTCGAGACAATACATAACGCATGGACTGTTTAAAGAAAAAACAAGTTTCTGCAACATGATAACCTCGGCTTACACATCGTTGCATGGATAATGTGTATGTAAATTCTTCAATGAAAGCAACCCAATAATGATACCGAAGTAGCAATACCCCCCACACCTCTCCCATTTAAAAACATTGTATAAAACATTTAAATACCTTACGATTAAGAAAATAAGAACAAATGCAACAATGTGTATAAAAGGTTCGAACCTATGCACTTTTTTCAATTGAAATACAGCTAAAGTTGTAAGATCGGCCTTGTGCAACTAGTTAGCACAATAAATATTGAAAACTCGTTTTAGTTAATGTACACCAGCCAGCTGGAGAAGATGCCGATGACATTACTTGCTGCGGGCGCTGTTATCATTTTCGTTTGTTTGCTGCTCTATATATGTCACATACTGATAGGCTATACGCATGAAAGAGTACATAAACGTATTGCCGGACTGAATGCTTTGTCACTCCGAGCATCTATAGAATTTGCATGTAGAATAAATCATGAAAGTATGTCGTCAGTCAGTACATTACAGCCGCCATAAAAATAATTATTTATAAACAAAAATTATTTTTTAATCAACAGATTTCTTCGAAGAACATGAAAACCTATTTCGAAAATATGGCTGCATCATTGGAATATGGGGTTTTCGACGTTTTGTCATATTTTCGATGGACTCGGAATTAAATGAGCATCTGATGTTGAATTCGTTGCAAATTACAAAACATCGCAACTATGATACGCTCAAGCAATGGTTGGGTACAGGTCTATTGCTAAGCAATGGCCGTAAATGGCACCAACGTCGTAAAACGATTACACCAACATTTCATTTTAAAATATTGGAAGATTTCGTACAAGTGTTTGATCGACAATCGTCTGTGGCGTTGCAGTGTTTGGCTGAGGTGGCCGATGGCAAGATCGCTGTTGACATTTATCCATTTATGTGCCGGTTAGCTTTGGATGTGATTGCTGAGACAGCGATGGGCACGAAAGTCAATGCACAAATTGATAAATCTATGCCGTACACATCGGCTGTTAAAGAGTAAGTAATGCATATAACAATTTTTGTATTGTGGGTTAGATTTATAAAGGTAAATGAAAATATAAAGGTAAATGAAAATAATACGGCAAAAATGCCCATCATCGAAATATTGATTTTATATCTCAGGTTTCTTTGGACTAAATCTGCTTCAGATAATTTGAAGTCGATTTACAAGTCTGCCTGGCCGACTGGTGTGCACGATAAATCACGAAGGGAATAACCGATTTCATCCAAACTTTTCACATCTTAATATTTCCCTCAAACTCAGTTGAAGTTTGAATAAATTTAAAATTAAAATATCAAACATTTCTGGGAAAATTTAAAAATTAAGTATTGACAAAATAACAAGTTGACCTATTTGCAAACCTCGCCACCCCTCTGCCTACGTCGCTGATGGGAGCTATATCTAAATCTGAACCAATTTCAACAAAATTTGACTGAGGTCAACCTGAAGTAATTTCCGTACGCAATGCAAAACTTTGACTCAATCGAACAAACATTGGCATGTTAGTGCTCCATTTTCATAGAATCAGACGAAACTATATATGGGAGCTATATCTAAATCTGAACCGATTACAAAACCAGTGAGCGGAGCAGTATAGTCGGACGGGCCGACCATACGATACCCTACACAACTACCACGGAACTGTATCTTCCTGTGGATGTTTATTCCAAGCCTGGACAATATTTCGTGATATCTACACATTGTTGCCGATTAGAGGTCAATAGCACCTCTTCCTTACACTGACATACTTTCCCAGAATTACTAATATTCTGTACAGTCCTTCTAATTACTTATCCAGTTCCCTTCACCGTGGGTTCTGTTGTGATGTTTGACTTTCAATTGTGGCGTATACATCGACTCGAAAAAACACAACAAATTAAGTTTTCGGTCCACTTCATTATTTGAACATCGCCGAAAATTATAGGTGTTGTCAATGACCATAACTGAAATCTTATGGAAAATTTCAAAGGGATCAGAGCTATATTTCCGCCCTCTTGTGTGGTAATGGGTTACTAAATAATATATGAATACATTAGCACCTGTAAATATTTAAGTGTAACTCCCACAGTTGAGTTCATACGACCATATAAATGGTATCAATTTAAAGGTCAACCACTCATCTTGGATATGCTATCAACTCCTCGGGTCTTTGTTCTCCAGGGGTAAATATATACGCTATAGAATACAAATTTTTTAATTTTTCACACACAAGTTGGGGTCTATTTGACCCGCTAAATATTGACCGATCTTTATCAAAACAGGCATCCTTATTCTTTGGCCCAATCCCCTTTTCCATGCAAAAATTTGCGGTGTTTGGGCCATAATTGCGGCCTCTGGAGCGACCAGAAAACCGACAAAAATAAAGTTTTTGGTCCATTTCGTCCCCTACATATTAAGCGATCTTTTCCAAAAACAATTGGCGTCTTCATTGGCCAGAACCCATCCTACATGCAAAATTTCGTGAAGATCGGTCCACAACTGTGGCCGGTATGGTGTTTAAAAATTATAATGGACAGACGGACGGACGGACTCACATGTCTATATCGACTCAGCTAGTCGAGATATGAAGATCGGTATTTTTAAAGGTGGGTCTAGGACCAATATTTCGCGGCGTTACAAACTTTTGGGGCTGCACAAAGCTATAATACTCTGACAACATAGTTATGTAGGGTATAAAAACTTCATGTACATCTATCAGAACCTTTTTAATTACGCTGTGCTTAATTAGGTCCTGGCTCAATCGAAGAAATAATTGCATTAATTCGGACGACACTATATATGGGAGCTATATTTGAATCGCACACATGAATCTGGTCCTAATTGAGTATACTGTACAAAATTTGGTATGAAGGTTAAACGCCCTGAACGAAATGTGGGCCGTTGTATCGCTTTTGACGACATGTCTTCATATTTTCAAAAACTTGTCTACATATCATGATTATGCTAGCATCCAACTGAACATGGCTATGCTTCTTCTTATTTTTATTTTCTTAAAAAACATTATGTTGGGTATGTTCGGTCAGTAGTATTGTTGTCAATAGTCAGTAGTCATTTACTAAAGACATTTCCTAAAGGGTATATAATTAACGGTCATTAAACTTATCAATAGAGGGACGTTACACTTTGTTGCAAATAATATATATATATACACATCGTGTACATTTTTTCAAAGCTTTTAGTCTTTGACTAATGGTGTATGGTACCAAAAATATTCATATACGTTACGTAGGGTGAACACGGATCCGAACGTTTTGATATGTTTGTTTTTAAGCACTTGTCCATAGGTAAATTTAATCTTTAATTTAACGATTGATTTTTGATAAGGTGTTCTTTATTTGGATTATCTCAGTTGTTCCATAAACAAAAATACACATTATCAAGAAAAAAACAAATTGTATAAATGGCAATAGATAATGTATTGCTGCTGTTAGAATGAGTACAAACAAAGGCACGAGACTTGTTGACTAGCTTATCAGCTGTGGGTAATTACACTTTGCTACAAATATCGTTCAAATTAAAGAAAACAATAAGAAACCAGCAGGCAATGTTTATAGTGGCATGTGATCAACAATGTAGGAATTGATATGTTTATGAATTAATGAAATGTAAGCTGTGGGTAATTACAATTCGCTACATTTATCGTTGAAATTCAAAACAATCGGAAAACGGAAAACGCGGCAATATCTAAATCATGGGCTCGGGGTGGAAAAATTCTATATATATATATATATATGAAAACCCCCAGAAGGAAAAATTCGCCATTTGTCAATGTTCGGAGATATGCCATGATAATTTTTTGCTGGCAACCATATTATACATGAAGAGATAGCTCCATATCTTGATCTGTAGCTATTGTATGTATTTTTCGATATTAAATATATTTACTAAAATCAAATGAGGAATTGTTTTCTAGAAGTTACTTCCAACTTAGTTTTTGAACCGGACTTCAATTATCACAAGATGCAATTTTTCATTCTCGCAATATTCTACAGAAATGTTGCTCATAAAGTTTTTGGTGGGGTCCTCAAAGACAAACAAGTGGAAAAGCGTTAAGTTCTGCCGGGCCGAACTTTGGATAGGGAACATACCAAAAAGTGGACCTATACCCATATTTCCAAATTTGTTATGAAAACCATAATACAAATAACACAAATTTTTAATGGATAATACCCTCAGCCTGGATACACCTGACTAATGAGGATTTATAGACTTTAACACGATGAAAATGTGCCTCATAAAAATATTGGTTCCAGACCCCATTGTTCTTTGGAAAATTTAGATTCCATTCAGACATTGCCCATCTTATTATTTCTTCCAAACTTAGTTCAAATTCGAAGATGGGGAATATCAGTCCACTCCTTCTGGAACCTCCACACAGGGGCTAGGTCTAAATGCGGCTTACGTCCTAATTGATTTTATCTCGCTATCCTCCGCAGGTGAAATGATTACAACAGAGTCTTAGAACTCAAAACGCGGAACAAATCAGATAACTATTTTATGATAAACAAGTGAATAAGCGTTAAGTTCGGCCGGGCCGAACTTTGGATACCCTCCACCATAGATATACTGACAGGTACTTGAAATGAAAATATAGGGAAAATACCAAAAAGTGGACCTATATCGACATTATGTAAACCACAATGTAAACTATAAAACAAATTTCTGAAATTTTTAATGGACAATTATACCCTCAGCTTTATGGATAATGTCACGGTTAAGATGGTTCTAGATGATTCTTGTTTCAGAAAATTTTGATTTCATACAAACTTTGGCCATCTTATTATTTCTTCCAAACTCAGTTCAAGTTGGAAGATGGGGAATATCGGTCCACTCCTTCTGGTACCTCCCACACAGGGGCTAGGTCTAAATACGGGTTATAGTTCATATATAGTTCATTATCGAACTTACGTTCTAGTTTTTTATCTCGATATTCTCCGCAGGTGATATGATTACAACAGAGTCTTAGGACCAAACCCAAAACGCGGAAACAAATTGCATAACTATTTTAATATAAAAAAGGGGGTTATATGGGGACTACCCCAAAAATGGGGTGCATATTAATAAATTTTTGTAGGGAAATTTTTTACCATATACGACTACAAAATACCAAATTTCAGCGAATTCGGTTGAAAAACGTGCTCAAGAACCTCAAAATAGCGAAAATCGGGGGTACCCTTATATGGGGGCTACCAGAAAAATTGGACCTATATGTATAATTTTTGGTGGAAATATTTGGTACCTAATAAGAACCAAATGTACCAAATTTCAGTGAATTCGGTTGAAAAACGCGGTCAAGAACCCCAAAATACCGACATTTGGGGGGTACCCTTATATGGGGGCTACCAGAAAAAAGTTGACCTATGTTTATAATTTTTAGTGGAGAGATTTGCTACCCAATAAGAACTCAATGTACTAAATTCCATCCAATTCGGTTGAAAACTACGATCAAAACCCCCAAAATACTGAAAATTAGACGGTACCGTTATATGGGGCCTTCCAGAAAAAAATTGACCTATATGAATAATTTTTTGTGGAGAAATTGGGTACCCAATAGCAACTCAATATACCAAATTTAAGCGAATTCGGTTGAAGAACGCTGATTACAACAGACGGACGGACATGCTTAGATCGTCTTAGAATTTTACGCTGATCAAGAATATATATTCTTTATAGGGTCGGTGATTATTTCGATGAGTTACAAACGGAAAAACAAAATTAATATACCCTCCATACTATGGAGGTATAATATACCCCAAAAAGGGGGCGAATATTAAAACTTGTTGGTAGGGAGATTTGCTACCATATACGACTACAAAATACCAAATTGCAGCGAATTCGGTTGAAAAACACGCTCAAGAACTGTTATATGGGAGCTATGCCTAAACGTGTACCGATATATCCCATCTTCGAACTTGACCTGCCTGCAGATAAAAGACAAATTAGATTGATCCGAATCAGACAGAATTTGTCACAGTTAATTATTTAGCCCATGAACTTTATTGCAATTGGTGAAAATCGGTTAAGATCTAGTTTGTCAGAATGGATCGAAATTTCAAGTACTCCTAAGATGTTTGGTATTGCAAATGGGATATACAGGTCCACTTTTTTGTGTAGCCCCCATATAACGGTACTTCCCAATATTCGGAGTTTTCAGCCGATTTGGCTGTAGTCTTTTATCTTCTCATTGCATAACGAGTACAAAAAATTATTTATATTGACTCAAGTTTCAGAGTAGCAACCATACAACGGTACCCCCAATATTTGATATTTTTGGGATTTCTGACACGTTTTTGGACCGAATTGACGGTAATTTAGGATTTTGGATTCTCATTGTATAGCACATCCTTGTACCAAGAATTATTAATGTTGACCCAAGTTTCCGCGTAGCCCCCGATAACGTTACCCCCTCATCCCTGTACTATAAGTGATTTCAGTACTCTAAAAGTGATCAATATTGAGCATTGTTTTGGCATTGCCCCATAAAACACCAAAACCTCTATTAGTTAAGTGTTTTGTTCAAAGTTGTTATTTATTTAGTTTTTAAAAAGTATTTTGTAGCTTTGTGAAACTTTTAATAAGTGCATTTGCAGCTCTAATCATTATTGCATTTTATTGACCGCAAAAATGTATGTTAGACATAGCTAATATCAGTATATATGCAGAATTATAACTCAAAGTATATTGAATTTAAGTATAGAAATATTATTAATTTAGCATGAAGGCCTATAAATTTTCACAGTCTAGAGGACAGTTAATAATAATATTTGCAGTCGTGAATTATCGATCAAAGAAGTGAAATGTTTTATTTATTGCTTACCGTGTTCGCTGCAATCCTCCTGGCGTTGGCTTTCTTAACTTATGGTACTAAGAGACCTTTGCGAAATGCCTTCAAAAAATTGCCGGGTCCGTTTTTAATTCCTTTAATGGGTTCCGTACACATCATATACAAAGTGAATCTACAAAGTAAGAAGAGCAAAAAATAAATAAATTAACATGAAATTCGAAGCAGTGTAAATTAATATTGATTTAATTGTAGATATTTTTGAGAGAATGACTGAAATGTTTACCAAATATGGTCCAATAGTGCGATTAAATGTCTTTAATCGGTATGCCGTCATGAGTATGGATATGGAATTAAATGAAAAACTCTTGGCCAGCAATGTACATATCACGAAGCATAGAAATTATGGCATTCTCCACCAATGGCTGGGAGTTGGACTATTAATGAGCCATGGCAAGAAATGGCATTTACGTCGTAAAGCAATTACACCAACATTTCATTTTAAAATTCTCGAAGAATTTCTAGAGATTTTTGATAATCAAGCTAACGTTGCGGTACAATGTTTGGCAGAGAAAGCGGATGGTCGAACGACATTTGATATATATCCGTATATTTCAATGTTGACATTGGATATTATTGCGGAATCGGCTATGGGTACAAAAGTGAATGCACAAACAGATAAAAATATACCCTATACACAGGCCGTAAAGGAGTGAGTATATACGATGTGGAAATTATTGTGAAAACAAGTGAAAAAGCGTTAAGTTCGGTCGGGCCGAACTTTGGATACCCTCCACCATAGATATACTGACAGGTACTAGAAATGAAAAAATAGGGAACATGCCAAAAAGTGGACCTATACCGACATTTCTAAAAAGGGATTATGTAAGCCATAATTAAAAATTCAGTAATTTTTAATGGATAATTATACACAGTGGCTAATCGAAACATTGGTTCTAGACCCCATGTTTCTTTGGACCAAATACGTTTCGAAAAATTTAGATTTCATCCAATCTTCTTCTGGAACTTCTTCTTCTGGAACCTTCATACAGGGACTGGGTCTAAATGCGGGTTATAGTTCATTATCGAACCTTATGTCCTACTTTTTTATCTCGTTATCCTCCGCAGGTGAAATGATTACATCAGAGTCTTAAAACCAACCTCAAAACGCGGAACAAATCATATAACCATTTTAATATAAAAAAGGGGGTTATATGGGGACTACCCCAAAATGGGGGCGAATATTAATAATTGTTGGTAGGGAGATTTGGTACCATATACGACTACAAAATACCAATTTGCAGCAAATCCTGTTGAAAAACGCTCTCAGGAACCTCAAAATACCGAAAATTGGGTGTACCCTTATATGGGGGCTATCAGAAAAAATTGACCTATATTCATAATTTTTCTTGGAGAGATTTGGGACCTATTAAGAACTCAAAACACTAAATTACAGCTGATTCAGCGGAAAAATACAGAAAAAATGCAGAAAAAAGACAACCCTATGCGAAATTTCAGCACTCTATCTCAATTCCTTCAGAAGATAGCGTGATTACAACAGACAGACGGACGGATGGACATGGCTAGATCGTCTTAGAATTTTACCCTGATCAAGAATATATATACTTTATAGGGTCGGAAATGAATATTTCGATGAGTTACAAACAGAATGACAAAATTAATATACCCTTTATGCTGTGGTGGAGGGTATAAAAAAACTAAGAAAAAATGTAAAAGTTATATTTAAAATTTTCATCACGAGTAGAACACCAACTTTTGAAATATTTTGGTTTGAAAATTCGAGTAGAGGATGTTGTTTGGAAAAAGACCTTCCAATTCTTCATTCGCAGTGTCTAGATCAGCATGTTTTTTGTTGGGAACTCGCTGCCCCAACCTCTCACAAAGATTTTTTTTTCATAATTAAGGAATGTCCTTCTTCTTCATCAGCCTGCAGCATCCTCATTCTCTTTTAGTACATAGTCCCCCAATAATTCGCAGCTGGACAAATCAATAGGGTTCACATCTTGCAGAAGGTGATCCAAGATCTTATTGTTGACTGCATAACATACCTCATTGTAGGCCTCCTTTTTCAGTTTACCGCCGAACTATTTTCCTCAATCGTCTCTATAATGACTCCTGGTCTCATTCGCATAAGAATGTGGCTTCCTACCAATTGTTGCTATCATCTTCCTCTTTCATGCAGTCCTGTTAGTCCTTTTGTAATTTCGGACTTTGCGGAATATAGCACTCGTATTCTGGATATGACGTTCGTCAACAGTTTTGGAGACGTTGTTGTTGAAGCAGTTTATAAGAATTGTATATTTTCCTGTTTAAATTTCCTCCAGTTCTGTCTCCAGATTTAGAAATGCAGCTACCTCCACTGGCTGTAACCTCAAATCTTCCGGAGTAAGGTGAGTAGATTTGGCTGGGCAATTGAATAAGTGCACATGCTGGGCAGACATCCTGCACCTGGTCATCAATCCGTACCCAATACGAATTGAGCCGACTGCACCATCCAGAACGTAACTAGGTCAAAACTACTCTGGTTTGTCTGGGCAGCTGACGTTCTTCAGCTGCTATGGATGGGGGTGATCTCCGAGGACGGCATTCACTTTGTGTCCGTTCAGTGCTGCGGCTACTGCATCTGTATAAATGCCATTCAGACCTGCTCGATAGGCAACTTGATCTAGAGGCTCCCTTTTGTAACGTTGGACCTCCCTCTCTAGATCACGCAGATCCTCCCGGACACGCCTGGGTGGGGGAGTCCTCTCCACCATATGATGGTTGGGATGATTGTCCCTGAAACACCCGAGCAGGTACTGCAACGAAAGCATATTGCTATGCTGACGTAAAGGAAGGATCTTCGTCTCCTCATGAAGATGGTCCACTGGTGTCATGAGGAGGCACCCTGTCACAGTCCTCACGGCGGCATTCTGACACTTCTCCACTGCGTATCACTGGAATTCGCAGGCCACACTGGAACCGCAACGCTAGCCACAGACCGACCTATCGCTTTGTAAGAGGTCAACAAGGTTTCCTCATCTGCGCCCCAAGTGCTGTCGGCAAGCGACTTGAGGACCTTGTTCCTACTTTTCAACTTATCGCAGATAGCCGTGGTTTGCGCGGACGATTTGAACATACTGTCGAATGTGACCCCGAGTATTTTGGCGTAGTTGGTGGTCGGAATTGTATGCCCCTCGACCTGCACATTCAACGGCATTCTCATCTCCGCAGTCCATATGGTGAATAGTGTGGCTGACGACTTCGAGGAAATAGGCGTTCAACCTCACACATATGTTCTCAACAATGATTCTACAATCGTGGCATCGGGTCGATGCCACGATTGTACAATCATCTGCATATGTAACGATTTCTAGAGGTTAAACAAGTCCGGAGAAATCACTCCACCCTGGAGAACTCCCTGTTTAACTCTACGGGGTTTGGAATTCTTGTTCCGGAACTCCACGTACGACTGGAGACGTAATTCTCTCCGCCGCTCCCAACGATGTGGAGCGGTTTATCCCAATGGGCATCCGTTTTCGGGTTTCTGTGTTGTGAACTTTGTAATGCCCTTGCACACTTCTTCCACGATTTATCAGCCTCTTAGCCCCTCCGGCATTCTAAGGTCGACATACATTCGTTTTCCGATTCAATGTTTGTGTTCGAGCCCACACTTGTGCCAGAAGGTTGAGTTGAGATTGCCCTTGACCGTTGGTTTTTCAACTCAGATCCATTGCCTGTTGACTGATGTTTAAAATCTTGACAAAGTTTGGATTCTTTATTAAACTTATCTGATGTGTGTGTGTTTATAAAAAAGTTGAGCATTTAAAATTCTTTTGATTGATCTAAGTTCGATCATTTATAATTATGATGTACAATGTTTTGATAAATTGGATGTCCCCATTTGCTTAATATGATATTCAATAAATTTTAAAAAGATTGACAGGAAACGATAGTCTTGATCCAGGCTTCTAGAGGATGTTTCTGAATTCAAATTCTTCGCCGATATACATATGTATGTAATTCATTTATTCTTCTTTTCAGAATGACAGCTATGATGGCTTGGCGTTTTCTTCGCTTACACATACAAAATGAAGTGACGTTTACTCTATTCTATCCATTGAAAAAATTGCGACAAATGAAACTAATAAGAATTATGCACAAATTTACACGTGACGTCATAGAGAAACGTCGTCAAGATTTGGAAAATAAAGTCGAACGAAATGACGATTCAGATATTGGCTCTAAGAAACGTATGGCCCTATTGGATCTGCTGTTGCAAGCAACAATTGACGGTAGGCCCTTAAGTGATGAAGATATACGCGAAGAAGTTGATACATTTATGTTTGAGGGTCATGACACAACAACATCGGCTCTAAGTTTTACATTACATCTTTTGGCAAGGCATCCTCAGGTACAAAATAAACTATTAACCGAGATTCGTAAAGTATATCCCGATGAGGAACATAACAAATTTACTCTGATGAATTTGAATGAATTGAAATACATGGAGTGTGTCATTAAGGAGGTGTTACGCCTTTATCCCTCTGTACCGATAATTGCACGAGAAATTGTTGAAGATTTTAAATATGGTAAATATAAGTTTAAACAAATTCAAATTAGTTTGAAGTTTATATATTTTTGTTTTTTCTCTTTTCAGAACATTCGAAATTAGGTAGCGGTGTCATACCAGCTGGTACCGAGTTTGTGATCTCCTTATATGCCATGATGCGTAATGGTACACGTTTCAAAGATCCTTTAGAATTTCGTCCAGAACGTCATGAAGAACACGATGCAAGCAGTAGTTTTTGTTTTGTCCCCTTTAGTGCTGGTCCTCGTAACTGTATTGGTCAAAAATTTGCCATGTATGAAATGAAAGTAATTTTGGTAAAAATATTACAACGTTATGAACTGTTACCGCTGGGCGAAGATATTTCGCCGGTTATGAATATTGTTATGCGTTCTGAGACTGGTATGCAATTGGGTCTCAAAGAAAGAACATAAATTGAAAGATATTTTTGAAATTTTGGTTTGCTATTGAAATTATTAGTATTTAAAGAAACAATAAAAATATTGTTTATATAAAAACTTTGTGTATAAATGAGATCCGGGTGGATGAAGGAATGCAAAAATTATATATATTTAAGTTTATGTATGCTATTTTGTTTTTATTAAAAATAGTCGGACTTAATCCAAGTTTGTTATGTTTTTTAAAACAACGACTTAATAGTGGGAAAAGTATTATATTGGTCACCAAGGGATAAGTCGTGGAATGCTCTAATTTCGGATTTCACCACTGATTCTCATCAGTTACCTTAATTTTTTGTTGGGTATATTCTCCCAAGAAGCTAATTTTATTAACTCTTTAACCAAAAACTAGCTTGTCATGTCCGACTGTTAATATTAATTTTCTGGTCTATGTCCTTCAGTGGTAAATATATACGCTATAGAATACAAATTTTTTAATTTTTCACACAAAAGTCAGGGTCCATTTGACCCGCAAAATAATGACCGATCTTAATCAAAACAGGCACGCTTATTCTTTGGTCCGATCCCCTTCTCCATGCAAAAATTTGCGGTGTTTGGGCCATAATTGCGGCCTCTGGAGCGACCAGAAAAACCGACAAAAATAAAGTTTTTGATCCATTTCATACCCTAAATATTAACCGATCTTTTCCAAAAACAATAGGGGTCTCCATTGGCCAGAACCCATTCTACATGCAAAATATCGTGAAAATTTGTCCATAACTGTGGCCTGTATCGTGTTTACAAATTATAATGGATAGACGGACGGACACACATGTCTAGATCGACTCAGCTAGCCGAGATATGACGATTGGTATACTTAAAGGTGGGTCTAGGACCAATATTTCGCGGCGTTACAAACTTTGGGGCTGCTCAAAGCTATAATACCCTGACAACATAGTTGTGTAGGGTATAACAAAGCACAGGTTGCATTTATGATCCGATTTGGATAAAATTTGGCACAGGTCACTTATTTGTTCCAATGACGGACCTTATTGAAATTGGAGAAAATCGTTCAGATTTAGATATAGCTTCCATATATAGTTTCGTCCGATTTTATAGAAATGGAGCACCAAACTGCCAATGTTTGTCCGATTAATACAAAATTTTGAACAGCGTGCTGAATTAGGTCCAGATGGATGTATGCGAAGTTTTGTTTTAATCGGTTCAGATTTAGATATAGTACCCATATATAGTTTCATCCGAGTTTATGTAAACGGAACACCATACTGCCAATATTATTCCGATTGAGACAAAATTTTAGACATCTTACTGAAATTTCTATAGGGTAACGTCCGTGAAGTTTTTTTTGAAATCGGTTCAGATTTAGATATAGCTCCTACATATAGCTTCGTCTGATTTTATGTAAACGGTGCACCAAACTCCTAATGTTTGTCCGATTGAGACAAAGTCTGCACAGCGTACTGAATTAAAATCAGATTGATGTATGCGAAGTTGTGTTGAAATAGGTATAGATTTAGATATAGCTCCCATATATAGCTTCGTCCGATTTTATGTAAATGGTGCATCAAACTCCCAATATGTGTCCGATTGCGACAAAATTTTGCACTGCGTACTGAATTAGGTCCAGATTGATGTACGCAAAATGTTGTAGAAATCGGTTCAGGTTTAGATAGAGCTCCCATATATATTTTCGTCCGATTTCAAGAAAATGTTGCACCAACCTCTTCATGTTTGTCCGATTGTCACGAAATTTTGCACAATTTGTTTTGTAAAAATTGGTGCAGATCCGACAATGCTCCGATATATTTTCGACCGACTTCATTTTTACACATACATAGCTTTCATACAAATTAATTTCTGTTGTCAATATTTACCATCAAAATATCTCAACTTAGGCGGGACATATATAGAGGTTTTGTCAAAACATTAAACTATATCGAACTTTTTACTTTTTTTAAACCTCCTAAAAAATAACAAAAATTTGGCGTGAAAACATTGAACATTTTCTGCAAACATATGTTTCACCCAGTTGGAAAATGTTATTAAAAACTTCGAAAGAGGTGATACCGTTAATTGGTACTGCACCATTATGTGGATCTATTTAGGGTCTCCGGAGAATATTTCGAGGTATTACCAACGGAATGAAAAAAATTATTTACACTCCTCCTCTGGTGGAGGTATTTTTATATGTTTTTGTACCCTCCACCATAATATGGAGAGTATATTAATTTTGTTTTTCCGTTTGTAACTCATCGATCGATATTCATTTCCGACCCTATAAAGTATATATATTCTTGATCAGGGTAAAATTCTAAGACGATCTAGCCATGTCCGTCCGTCTGTACGTCCATGTATTTTTGTTAACAAAGTACAGGTCGCATTTATGATCCGATTTGGATGAAATTTGGCACAGGCCACTTAATTGCCCCAAGGACGAACCCTATTAAAATTGGAGAAAATCGGTCCACGTTTAGGCATAGCTCCCATATAAGGGTACCCCCACATTTTCGGTATTTTGAGGTTATTGAGCGCGTTTTTTAACTGAATTCGCTGAAATTTGGTACTTTGAGTTCTTGTTGGGTAGAAAATCTTCCTACCAAAAATTATAAATAAAGGTCCATTTTTTCGGATAGCCCCCATATAAGGGTACCCCCAATTTTCGGTATTTTCGGGTTCTTGGGCTCGTTTTATAACTGAATTCTCTGAAATTTTGTAAATTGGGTTCTTATTGGGTACCGAATTACTCCACTAAAAAGTATAAATATAGGTCCAGTTTTTCTGGTAGTCCCCATATAACGGTACCCCCACATTTTTGGTATTTTGGGGGTTCTGATCGTATTTTTCGACCGAATTGACTGTAATTTAGTACGTCGAGTTCTTATTAGGTAGCAAATCTCTCCACTATAAATTATAAATATAGGTTAATTTTTTCGGGTAGCCCCCATATAAGGGTACCCCCCAATTTTCGGTATTTTGGGGTTCTTGAACCAAATTCTTTTTTGTAATTTGGTTTTTTGTAGTCGTCTGTGGCAACAAACCTCCCTCCCAAAAATTAATAATATTCGCCCCCCTTTAAGGGGTAGTCCCCATAAAACCTCCTTTTTATACCCTTCACCACACTGTGGTACAGGGTATTATGTCTCTGTGCATATGTTTGTAACAGGCAAAAAGAATCGGGATAGACCCATGTTTCCTTTTGAGAATATGCATAGAATCACTTTCTGAGTCCGTCCATGTATTTTGGTTAACAATGTCGCATTTATGATCCGAGTTTTGTTGAAATCGGTTCAGATTTATATATAGCTATAGTTTCGTTCTCTCGTCCGATTTTTGTACCCTTCACCACACTGTTGTACTGGGTATTATGCCTTTAGGCAAATAGGCACATGGTTTCATTTGAAAATATGCACAGAATCACTTTCTGAGTTGACTCCCATATATTTCCGTCCGATTTAAGGTAAATGGTGTATCAAAGTCCTTTAATATATTTCGGTTTGCACCAAATTTAGCGTAGCGTAAGGAATTAGGTCTAGAATGATGTGTGTTAAGTTCCATTAAATCAGTTCAGATTTAGATATAGCTTCTATATCTGACCAAATGAAAACTTTATTATAGGTTGCAGAATGACATGTTTATGGATCCAAATTCATTTTACTGTTCCTTTAAAAATGCGACATTTGTTAAGATTCATCTGTTAAATATACCCAAAGTGGTGAAGGGTATCATATAGTCGGCCCCGTCCGACTTTACTACTTTCCTTACTGGCTTATATTAAAATAGTTATATGATTTGTTCCGTGTTTGGGTTTGGTTGTAAGACTCTGTTGTAATCATTTCATCTGCGGAAGATACGAAAAAAAAACTAGAACGTAAGGTTCGATAATTAACCTTCTATATATATATATATATATTCATATATATGAATATGTTCGAATTTGACCTAATTTTGGAAGAAATAAAAAGATGGGCAAAGTTTGGATGAAATCAAAAATTTTTGAAACAAATTTGATGCAAAGAAACATGGGGTCTAGGACCAATATTTAGAACCATAATCGCTTGGAGAAATGTCAGTATAGGTACACTTTTTGGTATGTTCCTTATATTTTTATTTCAAGTACCTGTAAGTATATCTATGGTGGAGGGTATCCAAAGTTCGGCCCGGTCGAACTTAATGCTTTCTCACTTGTTTTATTTTGTTTCATACGTCATCAGTTAATTGAAAGCGTATTCATTGTTCAGCGATAATGTGACGATCTCCAGGCTTATCATTCTCATTTTCGTTTTGATTAGCTGATAGTCTTTGCTGGTGGTAGCTAAATGTGATTAATATGTTGTTACTATTATCAATAAAAAAATAAGTAATAGATTATATTTCTTGTATCGTAGTCTATACTACGAAGACAGTTCAATAATTCCATTACGATTAAATTAAAATGACAAACAAAACAAATAACAATTATTTCTCGAGATCCAAATAGCAATTTCTTTGGTAATCGCTTCAGTTGTATATTTCAATGTTCATGTCTGTTATTTGTTAAAAAAGTGTACATCTTCTAAAATTTCCTCATTTATATACCTAACCATCCATTAAAGGTTCGCCGCACTCCTACACCCCGAACCTACACAAAATTAAGAATGTCCCTTTAACATTTCAAGTGAAAATCTCAACAACTCTGGAAGATGGCTGAAACGTTTCTCAAACTTTTAATGCGCTTTTCTCGATGTAATGCGCTTGTGCGATTTTAATAACCCTAGATCACACTAGTGCCAGACATTTACTCTTCCGAGCAATCGGAAATCATACCTGCCGTCGAAAAGAATTAATTTTTGTTAATAACAAAAACAGGAACAAAGTTATGCCAAAATTTTATAACATTATCAGCATAGTATATAAGGAAAACATTATCGGCATAGGTCTACTCTATCGCAAGCAACTCTTCACACGTATAACATGTGGTATTACTTTAATTGTTTCCTTTTTGTCTGGAACACTGTTATGCTGCTTATTTTAAAACC